GTACAAGAATGTAATGAAATATTTCCTATCATAACTATCAAAACAAATAATTTCATCAACCTTTCTGAAAATAACGTTTAATCATGCTGATACAATTCTGAACAACTCCAAAATCAAACAAACACGGCTTCGCGGCCCAAGTGCCCTATAGAATCAAAACACTAGGACTAGGACTAATTTGAGTGTAGGTGTAATAATAAAGTGTAAGTGATGGTATGCATATAATAAGAATTTATTTTACGAGAAACTAGAGTTCTACCTATCACAGTAATTTAAAAAAAAAAGTTGTGATTGCCTTATTACGATTACTGGTTACCGATTGGTCAAATGCTTTTTTTTTTCTGGTTTGAATCCGATAAACGCCACAACATTTCAAATCAAGGGTAGCAAAAACTGTCTCCATTGATGTTTGTCGCCGGATTGGTTTTCAAATCCTGCCTATGTACGTGTTTCAAGACGTCACAAAATACTTTTCCTTCTTCAGTATTCATATTTTATTAAAATCACCGTCAAGACAGTCATTATACGTTAGTAATAAAAAGAATATAAAAACACTTTAAATTATTATTATGTAAATAGATTAAAAATGCCTGCTAGTGAAAAGAAAAAGAAAAACAGCAGCGGTCGCCATAGCAACGCATGCAATGACGTCGCATGCGCACTGCTTACTATTACTCTCGAACACAGTTGAGAAATATGAGGACGTCATCAAATCCAAACCAAGACCCATTTTGCCAATGGGTAATAATATAAATATTTATATTTTACTCTAAAGTCAAACCATAGAGCTTTTTGAATTATCCTTGGTGTATATTATTATATACTAACACTTTCTTCATGTAGATGCTTTTTTTAATACATAATTTATTTTTTTTTGGTTGGGCATTACTATAACTATTTTCACATAGTATTGATACATTCAAAGATTACTTAATTTCAGTACTATTTTAAAAGAATTGTAACAATTTTAGTTGCTATCTTAAGTGAAGTGAATTAAAATGGAAAAGTTGCTTATTTAATACTTCTTTACATATTTCTTGATTATATAGTTTTCAATGCATATATACAGGAGTTGGGTAAAAGAATATGGAAATAATTCTATACTAACTCTACAGAAACGATTTTTCTTTTCCCAACAAATGGTTTGGAAAGTTTTTCATGGCGAAACTGTTGGCGCAATTGGAAAGATCATGGTTGAAGCTTTAAGAAGTGGGATCATTTTTACTCGTGCAAAATTTTCATCGAACAAAACTAAGCGTAAGAAATCAGAAGTTTATTTTTCTTTAATACCACTATAATGTTAAATGCATTCTTACATAAATACCACAATCTTATGGAATGATTTCAAAATTGCTGGTATTAGAGTTAGAAAGAAGTTTTTAACTTCTCCTCATTTTGGTTGACCCCAATTTTGCATAGTAAAAGTAGCACCGCTTTTAAAAGCATAATCTTTCAAATTGTGCCAATATTTTTTCCATGTAATGTCTTCTAAAACTTTTCTGCTGAACTTTTCCTGCTGAAGGAAAGATTGTTTAAATAGAGTTATAGAAGCGTTTTCATACTTGCGTCCAACTCCTGTATTAAAAAAATATCAATTATTAGTAGTCCTAATCTTTTAATTTAATCTCATAAATAATAAGAAAATCTCAGTTAAATGGTAATACTAAGCTTTTATATTTTAAATATAAACTAACTTTGTCTTCTAGCATTGATATCAACATAGTGGATAAAAAACAATACTTTTAATGCTCTTATCGCAAACTAAAGTAAACTGATATATAACTAGTTTTTGCTTTTCTTACAAGCAGCGTCATTACTTTGTTTTTTCTATATCTTCAGGGAAATTTCCAACTTCTTTCACTCTTTTAAGAGGACTACTTTTTTTTGTATAAATTGCGACCAAAGCTTTTCCATTAGATAAGGAAAGTGGTATATCTTTTTAACTTTGTTGTTACTATACGAGCTTTCCTTTAAGGTTATGTGAGATTTAAGTATTCTGTTTTATCAAAGTATTTTTATTCATTAAAATTTATTTTAGAATCACGTTTTTCCAGCAGTTTAATAACAGTTTTATCAGAAATAATGTAATGGACAGCTTTTACCAAAAATTCATAAAAAGAAAATGTAATTTC